TGGCCACAAACACAGCTATACCTGGTGTAACGTGCAGTGAAATGCGTTGTGCACCTGTTCCACACCGAAACAATAATAATAAGATAAATACGAATAAGGAATAAAACACACAAGAAGTAAAAACATACATATGTATGTATATATATATAGCGAGAGAGAGAAAGATAGAAATAGCAGAAATAAATAAATCAAATTTCCAAACAGTGCAAAACAGGAATAAAACAACTAAACAAACTAATAATAAGATTCTGTACATGTTTATATATGAGGTGAAAAGTGCAAAGTGAGCAGTTGGATTGTTGTTATTCTGATGCAACAGTCATGTCATACATTACGCAAATATTAATCACAAAAATCATGAAACCGGTTGGTAGTTTACGAAGCTTTTGTTTATAATGTTTTTGCATTGGTTTGTATTATATTGTTGGCTACTTGTGAGAACAAAAGATTAGAAATATTTGATATTACACCACAGTTCACCTGCAGGATTGCAGAAAGACAAATAACTAAACTGGTCGCCTTCAACACACACGGGATCATTTTAAGTGCTGCAACACTTGCTGAGTTTTGCATTGCATCTATTATTATTTTCTGTATTTTCAATAGCACGCTAAAGTCTTGTTTAAGTTATGTGAACCACCAAACCAGCTGCTTCCACACAGTCTGGACCTGGTTCATAACAGCAGTACAGATCTGCAAGCTCCATTCATACAACAGAGAGTTTAATAATGTGTTGTATGCGACAAACTTGTAAATGTGAGAAGTTGATGCTGTCTGAATCACAGATTTCAGCTCGACATCTTTGTCAACACACATCACTTCATTCACATTCTAGCTTTGAAAGCGCTTTAAAGAATAAACAGAAGTTATCTCCTATAAATACAAAATGTTTAATGATGCTGTTTTTAACCTCATTGTAAGACCCCGAATTCCCCAGAAACCCCGAAATATCGTGAGCAACATATTGTCATCTTACATCTCCTTAAACTGGGTCACCACATTTGAAACGAGGCCAAATTAAGGGGATTTTTTAATGCACTTTGGTACAAAGTTGATTAGCTACTCAGCATAAGTTGGCCTCCTCTTGTGTTTAGTTGTATGTTGCTGTTGCTTTGTTGTTGTCTTTTGTTTACTTTTCTGTCCTAAGCAGCAGAACTTTGTGATGTCTGTAGTTAAAGCTGTCAGCTGATGCAATCTAGTGCATGTTAAGGTAATGCTAACTAGCTGCTAGCCGCGTTAGCTCAGTCATACTGCTGTAAACGGCGCCGCGGAGTCCGAGCTACGGCGGGAACAACTCCCGCTCGGTCTTACCCCTGGACTGCCTCTTTCGTCATGTCGAGCTATATTCTTGGAAAGTTTGAAGAAACTGTATCACGAGTGAGTGACAGGCAGAAGCAGCACATCAGCTGTTCGCAGCATGGACGGGAACAAGAAGGAAGGACCTGTTTTGACGGAGCACACGATGCCGGATGCGTGGGGTTCCGGCTAGAAACGAAGGACGCAGTGTAGTTCCGGCAGGTTTGTCCTGCAGGGACACGGTGTAGACTAAACAGACCCTATGTCACCACATAAATAAAACATGCTTTGTTTCAGGAGGAATTAACATATAGCGACAGAATCTGACAATTTTCAGCATTTAAAATAAACTCTATCTATATGAGTAAACTCTGTTATAAATGATGCTGAGTGGCACAGAACATATGGCCCCGTAAACAGTCGTCCTCAGATTTATTCATACCCTCCCCTTAAAGAAGGAGAAAAAAAGCTGCCACTGAAATAAACTGAAATTGTCAAAATTTATTATAAATTTTTTTTAGAAAAATGTTGCTTTTGAATTGTGGTTCAACAGAAATATATATTTTTTAAAAACAACAAAACAAGCAAACCAGCATGATGGGACCTGTAGACTAATATTTAGTTGAACAACACTTTGAGCCAATCACTGCAATCAGGTGTTTCCTGTAACTTTCAATCAGACTTCTGCACCTATTTCGCTACATTATAATTTAGCAAATTTTTTATTTATTATTGCTTTTTTCAGTTTCTAGTGATTTGAGTGACTATTGTGAATTTTGCCTTTCCTTAAATGGAAGGGGATGAATACATCTGAGGACGACTGTTTTTTTAAGGTGGTTTGGTGGGTTCTCTAACAGCAGCTTACACGTCACAGATTGGACAGACTGCAGGTTGTGGTTTAAAGTGTCCTAATTCGATAGCAGTTGCTGCTGAATAACACATTTTGCTTCGTACTCATGACTATGATGCTGTTGGGTGAAGACTTTAGTAAGTAAGTAAGTTAACATAACTAACCTACAACAGAAATGCACATGTGATCCCATGTGTAGGCGGTTTTACACACCCCCATAGACACAAACAGAGAAGCTGTCCGTGAAACTGCTTTCACACATGTGGGAGTCCTGCAGGTACCTGGTGCAGAAAAAAAAAAACTTGTGTAACATGAACATATGATGTAAAATTACTTTGACTCTGTAGTAATTAAAAGTATGAAGTAGATATAAACACTGATACTGATTTTTTTTTTAAATAGTTGTGCTGACTGGCATGGAGGTTTGGTATATACAAGGACTTTTTTTATTTTTTTTAGGTATTTTTGTGGGTTTCTTAACATATGCCTGCCATGATATGGACAAATCGCTTGCTGTGGTCTAAAGTGATTTGTGGATTCTTTGCTGCTTTAAAACCTTCTGTACTGGTGACTATTATATATTCTTAAGTGATTGTAAGATTTTGAAATGATGTCATGTGAACTAATGAAATAAGTAAATGCCACAAAATGCACACAAACACACATGTGACCACGGTGTGTGGGCTGTTTTACACGTCCACATGAACACTCAAATGGACACTCCATGAAATTACTTTCACGCCTGTGGTTGAGTGCACTAAGTGCAGTCAGGTATCCAGTGACCTTTGCAGGAGCGGCCACGCACAGCGAGCGCCGGCGCTTTGAATACGGTGGGGGTGTCATCAAAGCCTTTCTCAGGCTGTTGGCCGCAGGAGCTCCTGATGCAGGAAACAACCTTCCTGCTGCTCACTTTCCAACTAAAACAATGTAACCTTTAGTGGAGCGTGTCACCAGCCAAAAGGAGCTCGTCTAATCTGTGTTCCTTTATCTTTAGTTTGCTTTCAAATTATCGCTGCACTTTTTTTTTTTTGGTCCTGTCACTCATGATTTTAATCGCAACACTTAAATGAGATCCTGCACAGATTGCAAAGTGGTCTGCAGCTCCAGTCTGACTCTGGGATGCGCCGAGGTAATGAATCAGCAGAAGAGACAATTTCCTGCCAATTTCAACAGCTTTGGCCTTTAACCCAGTAACTCAAACAAGCAACTCTTGGCTGCTGGAACATACATGCATGTGTTTGTTTTGACGAATATATCAGATGTGAGAAAGGTTGAATTTTCCCATTTCGCAGGAAGAGGATATTTATATTCTGCAAGACAGGGTGGCTACAGTATCATCATAATCATATTAGACAGCTGCAGTTTATATAACATAAACACTTCTGAAAAAGTGATATGACAGAAGAGACAGCACTGGAGATGTGTGTTGACGAACGGTATATTTTTCTCAGCACAAAGAGAGAACAATGCCTTTAATAATAAATGAAAGGGCACCTTGGTACACCCAAGACTGAGTTCCTTTGGGGGTTGAGCACTTAAAATTTATGCACTCAAGTGGACACTTTTTGTCAGTCAGCCATCCGTGTGTCTTTATTTCTAAGATGATGATGCTTAGTATTTTGAAAATGTCTATAAAAACACCCATAAATTCAGTCAAACCCTGTATTAAACTGTAGCTCTGTGTGTGTTTGTGGACCATGTTCTTGACTGCTGCTGTTCTTAATGAGGTCTCGCTGCATTAACTAGGGTGCACACGAGAGGTAGAATCCTGTTTTTGCTGGTTAAAATGATGCCAGTCCAACAACAAAGGCAGCGGAAGATTCATCCGAACCCAACCCAGAGATCTCTCGCTGCACAGGCCGAAGCAGCCAAACTGTTATGCTAATTCTGGATCGTTTGGGTACATTTCCAAGTGAAAAAGCACCTCTGGTTTTATCCTGTTTCACTGCAAGAGGCCGAGTACCCCGACATACCCATTAGCCTCGTAGCCTGATGGGAGCACTTCACACCTTTTTTTTTTTTTTTTTTACATGTAAAGGGATGGAAATGTATCTCCATTGTGGTTTTGAATTGATGCCAGTGCTGCGGCCATTTGATGGCTTCATTCTCCTTGACATGCATTGTTACCGGCTTCCTTTGCTTTCCAACCTTAACGTCAGTCTGTCACCAGCTCAGGCTAAATCTCTCGCATGTGTTGCAGATATAAGATCCCACAGAAAGATTGATGTCTGTGTGTGTTTGAAACTTGTCATCCTGGCACTACATAATTCCAGCAGATTTATTGACAGTGATATATTGCCTGAATCCTCAAGAAAGACAACGGTTGCCTATTTGCATGTTCAGACTATATAGCCCCAACTTTGAATACCATTATTTTTGTTTTGTGAGACCAGGGATGACCCAGTTGACCCACTGACCCGCTCTATGAGCTGAATGAAGATAACACTTGTTTACAAGCTGAACATAATGGAAGCAGTATATCTTGCAAACTGAAGAGAAAATAAAACGAGTCAAAGGAGAACTTAACACGCCGTTTTCTTTGTTAAGGAGACATATGGGTGCTAATTATGGCTAAAGATTTTGGCTTTTGTGCCACGGCTGCTTAAGATGTAAAAGTGCACAGATGTTCTTGCAATTACAGGCCTGTCTGCTCAGGGCTGCTGCTTTTCAGCCAGTTCAGGTGGTGACATTTGTGTTAAGGAGGCATCCCCCCACCCCTCCTCCACGACACACAGCCCGAGGGGAGGAAGAGCCAGTGAAGAGGCAAAGCACACAGCGTTCATAGGAAACAGAATGCTTTTATTGTCACATTAAAAACAAATTTTAAAACGGTAAAAAAAAAAAAAAAAAAAAGCAGCTTGCAGTTTCTTTATTTTACAAACTTCCAGTGTGAAAGACAGAAATAAATAATAGCTTTCAGGTAATCACGCAACTTAAGTGCGAACACACAAATGCTACAAACTATGTACAGGTTTGTGAAAGCAGCTACAGTAAAAGGGCTTTGTACGCCTGAGCTTTGATACAGCATCACAGACTGTAAAGATGAACACAGACATAATGGGTCCTGATTGTAAAGCTGAATGAATGGAAATGAGGCACTGCCTGAGGACACAATCTGCTTTGAGGAGCAAAAATCTGGCATAAAAAAACAAAAAATCTCAATAAAAAAACCCTCATTAAAAACACAATTGCAGTAAACAAAGCAAACAAATCCAAAAGTATAAAAACTCTTTCTTCTTTACATCTGTACAAAATGTAGTAAGTCCTTTGAAGTTAAAGCTTAGCTTCTTTGTTTTCTCCTGAGAGTTTCAAGTCACAGACGCTGAGGTTGGCCGTTAGTTAACTCGACAGAACACTTGAAGACTCGGACTCGGTGGACACGGATGAAATTGGCCCGCGCTTTTTGGTCATGAGAGTCACTTTCTGACTTGATCTGCTGTTGGGTGTCAGGGCGCTCCTGGCTGATTTCTTAAATTTGACTCCCAGGAAAGCATAGAGGATGGGGTTTAGGCAGCAGTGAAAATAGGCCAGCGCTTCAGTAATAGAAATCCACTTCTCCACCGCCTGCTGCAGCTCACAGGTGACGGGGACCACATTCAGCATCATGAGGGTGTCTAAAAAGATGCCAGCACAGTAGGGGAGCCAGCAGCAGAAAAAACACAGGATGAGGATGACTGTGGTCTTCAGCACTTTCTTTTTCAGCGCCTGTCCCTTGGTACCTTGCGAGAGCTTGGCTATGATGATGCAGTAGCAGATGAGGATGACCAGGCCGGGCAGGACGAAGCCCACCAGGATGTGCTGGAAGCGGAATATAACTGTCCACGTGAGGCTGGTTGCCTCTGGGTAGATGCGCTGGCAGATAGTCCTGGCGTCTGCGGTCTCCACACTCTCGTCTGTGAAGAGGAAACTCGAAGACCCCACACTCTGCACCCTGGCAAACACCAAGTCAGGCACAGTGAGTATGGCTGCAGGCAGCCACACACCCACGTAGATCACCCGGCTCGCAAGCAGCTTCCTCGTAGCTTGGCTGTTAGTCGCCCGTACCACTGCCAAGTACCTGTCTAGACTGATGAAGGCCAGGATGAGCACGCTGCTGTACAGGTTGACTGTGTAGATCATGTGCACAGACACACAGAGGAAACTTCCAAAGTACCAGGTTTTGACCGCATCCACGGCCCAGAAGGGCAGAGTGAGGACGAACAGGAGGTCGGCCACGGAGAGATGGAGCCGGTACTTGTCCGTCATGGTCTTGACCTTTTTCTGGTAGCCCATGACAACAACGACTAGTCCATTGCCAATGACCCCCAGGACGAATATTATTCCGTAAACCGTGGGAAGGAAGATTTTGTTGAAGTCGCTGCTCAGAGCGCTGCCACATGGCTCCTGGAAGTCCAGGTCCAAGTCTCCAGACCCCTCTGAGATGTTGTCAGTGATGTTCTCGTCAAAGTCGTACACAAACTGGAAGAAACAACACGTCAAAGTTAGTGAACAGCCAGGAAGGTTTCAAGCACTTAAAAAAAAACATATATTCTGTTAAAAATGTAAATTTCTAAAGTTTTCTAAAAGTTTTCTCCAAGTTGCTCATCTTTGGAGAGTTGTGAAATGTACTAGTATACAGAGAGGTAGAAAATAACTTTAAAAAAAAAACATGTTAAAAAAAACATCCTCATAAAAAAAAAAAACGTGATTAGAAAAAACAAAAAACCGAGAAAACACTTACGTCCATGTTGCCACTCGTGGATAACGCTGTTAGGACCAGAGGTTGTGTGTCTGTGTGAGGAGCTGGGCTATCAGTGGCTGCTCTGGAGCGACCACCTCCATAAATACCGCCGGTGCGTCTGAACCCTCCCCCCGCAGGAGGAGGAGGAGCCGCGGGACGCGCCGCTCGTCTCTAAAAACGGTTTGACTATAAAACCAACTCCTGTGCCTGTGGTGAGGGCGTCAGTTTGTGAAACTTTCTGTCTGTTATATCACTGCGTTACAAAAAAAGAAAAAAAAAGAAATCGTCGTTTCCCATTCTGACTTGCTCACTGTTAGATTTAATGAGGATCAGTTATTCTAAGTTAATAGTATTTTTTTTCTTCTTCTGGTAATTTCATTTAAACATAAAAACAATGGAGCATGATTATAAAAAGGGTGTTATTATAGAGATAGAACACGTAAAAAAAATCCCCACAGATGTCCCCTCTGGGAAAGTTATTTGAAAATTAGAGCAATTGTAAGATTACAGCCTCTCTGCTGCTTCATCATATCTGCGGCTCACCAGCTTCACATTTTGCATGAAGTGAGGCTTGACATTTACATTGGTCATTCAGGATCTTCCTCCCCCCCTCCATCGCCTCAAGCCTTACATTTCTCCCTACAAATCACTTTATAACTGTGTCTGATGACAGTTTTCATCAGCAGAGGCCCAAATCTGTCTTCACCTTTATACACACTCTGTCACTTCTCAAGTGCTGTTATGTCTGCGCTCCCAAGTGCTAAATGAGCCCCGGTGGATTTGAAAAGAGCCACACACACCCTATAATGTGGGATTTCTATCAAACAGCCTTCGAGCTTCAGTATGTAGAACATCCATTCTCTCACGACGTTTGCAACCGTCTCTGATTTCAGTTAAGGCAGTGATGACAGGCCCGGGCCACACGAAACTCCCCGCCCTCCTCTCAGACGACGGCTGTTTGAAACCCAATATCCTCCGTGTGGCGTTCAAATGCTATTTCATGTCTTTGATATGTGAGAGCAGTGATTGATTCAATGAGCTGACCTGCATCATTGATGAACCTTGCGGTTCAGAGGGACTCTCTGTTTCCGTGCATGCAGTCTGGGTTATGACTTGACAGACAGGTGATGTTTTTTTCTATGTCAGACAGAACATTGATTTGTGCCAATCAGCAATGAAGACATCCTTCAGGTGTCCATTGCGGTGTAATCTGAGGGGACGTATGACGGTATTATTGAGATTTGGCGACTCAAACCGCTCCGTTCGGGCTACAGCGTGTTTCAAAAGCAGAAACTCTGCACAGTTTGACAGTTGAGTTGCAAAACATCAGCAGTGAGCGCCTGGATTATAAGGTGCTTATCAAAAGGAGGAAGTTTAGGGAGAGATTGCAGCCACAGATTAATCATAAAAATTTCTACGATTATTAAACCGTGCGATGAAACCGCTGACATCTGCGTTGTGGCGGTGCTGCCGGACTTTCTTATCTCCAGTGCAAAAAACACTGTTTATCTTGCTCCTAGCTTATGAAATGATTCAATAACCACTTCACAAAGCTCGTACGTTTTCTGTTTCACATATCTAAAATCCCCCGGTGTGACAGTAACAGCGCATTGTTCATTTCCAGTTTCCTTGGAGCTTCTGCACAAAGCAGCTGGACTTTATTTCTCGAAAACGTTTCACTTCTCATCCTTTTCTGCGCTGAAGAAGCCTCTTGGACGAGAGGTGAAATGTCTAGTTGTTGTTGTTTTTCACTGAACTCCTGGGATTACCAGGACTCGGATGACTGAGAGTCTACGCTGACACATTCTCAGTTTCATTACAGTACGTGGAAGCGAAATACTTGTGCAACTTGATTGACGTGTAAAAAGTTGACAATGCAAGTGCTGAATTGGAAAAAAGAAAAGGCAGCAAAACAACTGGCAGGCTCAGTGATTACAGCTTTAATATAATAACAACACATTCATGAATGAATACTCTTATAATGAGCAACAATGCAGCGTTTGCAGTCATATTAATCACACGCGACCGGATTGAAATGAAACTGATAAGTATAGTTGGAGGCTTATCCGAGTAGTTGTAAATTAATCCTGTGCTTGTCGTCCTCAGACTCCCCCTGCAGTGGAGCTCCGGAGGAGACGAACCAGGAGGAGGAGGAGGAGGATCTGCAGCTCAGAGAGAGGCCACTGTATTGGTATGATGCTCTTATCAACGCCATTCAGACGCAGACAGTTGCTCCGTTATCAGTCTGCGAGCAGAACTCCTGGATTTCATCTGTGTGCCGAATTACACGCGGCATTTCATTTTTAACATTCTCCAAATCACTTTCACTACAGAGGGGGAATTCCACTGACTCACTTGTCTGATGTTGTTTTTTCAGAAGCAGCCTCTCTTGAAGCAGACGAGTGTTTTGAAAAACTACAAAATTTTCTTTCTCAAATTCCCCCAAGGCCAGTTATTTTTAAGTTCAGCGTTATCTGTCGTGCATTGTGATCCAGCTGCATGGCGTTGGATCACATGTTTATAACTGTGAGAAAAAAAGGTTGTGCATTGTTGTAAACTACCTTAAAAACCACCCACAACACAGGAGCAGAGCATCACAATCACTTCATTGTTATCTTTATCACTCTTTTACCGAGTTACTGGGGTCACACGAGTGCATTAAGCAGATGTTCAGAGATCTTGTAATAATGCTGAAATCATATAGTTCAGTGTTTTGTTAAGAGCATTTCATTATATTTGCATGTCTGTGGTGGATTATGGGAATGAAAGCTGCGTATCTTAATTGTGCTGCGTTTGTAAAAGACCAACTTGGGACCAAATTAGCAAAAACTACCGACTCTTTGTGCAGCGCATCAGCTTCATGATCTGTATTTGAACTACTGTTCCCATCAAGGAAAAGTAAATGAGAATCCTCCGGAGGTTAGTGCATTTAGGTGTGATTTTAATCTAAAAACACAGATTCATCAAAACACTGTCCCCTCTGGTGATCAGATATAAAAAGTTCTGCAAGTTTTCTCCTTTTCTGGGCGTTAAGTTTGCACATTTTTGACCTTAGAACACAAACAGCATCCCTCCTGCATTCGTGCGTCGTCTTGCAGCGTTGAGAAATAAAATGAGACATAATCGGTGCATTGCAATCAGCCCACTTTTGCAATTTACCTTTTCATCATTTGTGGAGTCTGTGTGTACATGGAGCTTATCGTTTTGTCGGATTTCCACTAAAGAGATTTCACTCCTCATAATAAATAAGACCTTTTCTTTTCTTTTCTTTTTCTTTTTTTTCTTTTTTGGGGGCTCCAGGAGGATATCTGCAGCCTCCCATGTCAGCACGGGGATTCAGATTGCTATCAGTCCAGAATACAAAAGATCTGCGAGCTACTTAGAATACAAATCACAAGAAGTGTGAACGGCAGCGAAGGGGGCTCTTCAGTGAAGAATGGCTATTGAAATGAGGCAGAAGAATGCCGCCGAGATAAAGAGAAGAATGAGCAGCGCTGTTCAGTCAACACCAGCCCTCCAGTTCCAACCCATCCCGGCACCCCCTCAGCAAGTCGGCACGGGATAATTTTTCATAATGATAGCTCTGCTCAAATATCACCTTCACGTTTTTTAAAATCACCACATAGAAAATAACATCCAGGCTTTGTTATTGAAGCTGACTTTGGGTGTCGCCTGTAAATGCACAAAAGGTTTTGGGTAACTCAAATACCGTTAATCTCTTGTCTGAGCACTGGAAAGTGGTCGATGTGTATTTCAGCTGCAGAGAGTGTGTGTGTGCTTACAAATGCACTTTTATTTTGTTGGTGAGAGGAAAGGAGGTTTTTTTTTGTTGTTGTAAGGTTTAAAAACAGCGTCTACTTATTAGAATAATGTTGCTCCATCAGATATTGTTCCTCTCGTGTCATTATTCACACTGTCAGAGCCACAGAAACAATCTGCTGCGAGCAATACATCTATTCAGTTGCATAGATTGTGTATTTCTGCCTCTTCGTGAAAGACTTTGACCTTCGTGTGGACCCTGCAGCTTTTACATGACTCAAGACGTTCTGTATGCATCCCTGCATGTTTGCACATACTTACGTTCATTACTCACTTTGGAATGCTTTATCTATCTATCAGTCAGTGCACTATCTGGGTGCCGTTGTTTTTCTGCTCTCGACGGTCTGTTCAAGGCAGAGGCTCTGGCGGTGGGGGCCGGGGTGGTCGGTGGCTCTCGGCCAAGACGAGAGATCCATCCTTCATCCTTCATGCCTCCTGCGCCTTTGTTTGGGTTTTGTCTTGTGTCGGGACAAGATGCATCAGGCCTCAGCGGCTGCAGAAAAATGATACTCTTAACTTTTTCACAAGACTTTAATCATGAATGCAGATACTGTGCAGGAGTGACCACGTCCTCGCTCACATTATTATTTCTTTACTCGAGCGACATGCCGGAGCTGTCATTGCCAGAGGGAAGGGTTTTTGTTGGCAGGGAGAAATATTAATGATTATATTTCCACAGAGAGCATATAAAAATATTTGTAAAAGCATCCGGGCTTGCTTGCTGTTTATGTTTGAGTTTGCAGAAAGAGCACGGATTGGAACAATAGAGGCACTTTAACGACAAAGCTTTCTCCTTATCTGCGGACGGCACCCTCTTAAACTTCCTACGTTGGCGTGGCGAGCGCTGGTGGCCCTTTTAAAACACTCCTTCCTTGACCTCAATCAAGGTCACAGTACCTTGGTGAATTCATTGTGATGTGCTGAAAGTAAAGACAAAAAATACATTATTATTTTTTATTATTATTTAAAAATGGAAAAGTGCCGAATGCCAAAAAGCAAATGAACATCAGTGGCCCCTCTGCGCGGTGTTGTTAGACATCCATAATAGATGATAAACATCATATAATGGCCTGCACTTACAGCCCACTTAAGCCACAGTGATTTAGTTTTATGTGCATTTTTCTTGAACAAATTTCCGCCTTTGTTAACACACAGGATGGATGAACGAGTTTACTTCCCTGGACAGAATTAAACTGCTAATTTAGAAAGTGTCATGGCCCGCCACTTTACTCTGAAGTCTTTTTATTCTTTTCAT